CAGCGAGAGACCGAGTACATCCAGCGCGAATCCGCGACCAAGGAAACCATCCGGACCCTGAAACGCCAAATCAGCGAACTCGAGCGCCAATCACATAACCTCGAACTCTCCATCCTCCAAACCTCCTCCCCGCACTCCTCCGTCAATGGCTCCGTCCACAAGAGCGAAGTCCTCGAAGTCCGCTCCCAGCTCGCCACCGCACACCAAACCCTCAAAGACCTCCGCGCACAACTCAAAGACACCGAACGCGACGCAGCCAAGAAACTAACCTCCGCGCACCTAAACCACCAATCCCAAGCTGCTGAATGGGATTCCGCGCGCTTCACCCTCGAGCGCGACCTCAGCTCCGCGCTCTCCGCCAAATCAGCCCTGGAAGCCCAGGCCACGGCCGCGGAATCCACTGCTGCGCGCTTGAAAGCTAAGATTGCGAGACTGGAACAGGAGTTACACGCTGAGCGCACGACGGCGGAGGGGGATCGCACGATGGCTCTTGAGAGACACGATTTACATGAGATGCTGAGGGAGACGCAGGTGCAGGCCGATAAACTCGAACTCGCCGTGCAAACTCGCGATGCGTCGCTCGCGGCGCTGACTACGACTGAGTCCTCGCTGCGAGCGCAGTTGAAGAGGATTCGTGAGGAACGTACGGCGCAGAAGGAGCGTGCTACTCGCGCTATGAGCGAGCTTGAGGTGTTGGAGCGAGAGTTTAAGGGGGCGAAGAGAGGGTGGGAAGCAGAGAGACAGGGGTTGACTAGGGGAGTTAGGTTTGCGAATTCATCGTCTGTGCTGGAGGGGGGTGCGGAGGCGGAGGTGAGGCATGGGAAGGAGCTAAGGGGGTTGGCGATGCAGATTGAATGGCTTAGGGCGAGGTGTAGGCGCGAGGAGGGGTTGAGGGCTGATGCGGCGTATGCGAAGAGGTTTATGCTTTTGCAGGTTGAGTTGTTTGGGGCTTGGTATGTTTATTTTCTTTTCTTATTTTCTTCTCCCCTTTTCACTTTACTCTTCCCCCACCCCCCCAACTTCCCTTGTCCTATATCCTCGAATACCCGGGGTGGAGAGCACGGCTAACAATCAAACAGCAACAAAGCAGACCTCCAAATCCTCGCCCAAATGGGCATAACACCCGACCGCACCACCCTCCCTCCCCGCCCCTCCCTCCGTCGCGTCGGATGGATGGTCATCGCCTGTGTGCGCATGAAGAGGGGCGCAGAGGCGTGGGCGAAGAGTAGGAAGGTGCATGAGAGGATTGTGGGGAAGTTTGAGGGGATGAGGAGGGCGAGTGTGGGGCCCGTGGTGAGCGGTGTGGGGAGGACGGAGAGGGGGGGAGAGAGGGTTGACAGGGGGGGGAAGGAGAAGAGGAGGAGGAGTGATGGACCGGCTTCTCCGGCTGGGGGGGGGAAGAGGGAGTCGAGGAGGGTTAGTGAGTTGAGACGGGAGTGGTAGGGATGCATGCATGGGATGTTGGAGTGGCGTATGGTTTGTGGGAGGTGTTTTATATTGTACTGTCCTGTTTGATGTCTGTATGGCTAGCTGGCGTTTGGATGGATGGAGGGAGGGATGGGTGGGTGGCATACCAATTAGCATGGGGGTTATGAAGTCGATTTGCTCATTTTGCTCGGTGCTGTGTTTTATCATCGTCGGCTTTTCCATGACCTCCTCTGGTGATTAACCTACGATACGCCCGCTCGCTATCCATATCACAACGGCACGCTTCAGAAAAGATGCAGTAAGTAAAGTACTAGTAATGTCCTCGATTCCATCTACGCTACCAACAGACACCACGCTGCACGGCGCTAGCTATACTGTACGAGTAGAAAACCCAGGCATCACAACACAACACATCGCAACGCAGCGCATCTAAAGCCAACGAGAAAAAGCAGCGCGCAAACGCCGGCCCTTCCTTCCCTATCCATTCCGATTCCAGTCCATCCTGAAGACCTTGAGACGTAGAGTCCGTATGATTTTTGAGTATCAAGAGTTGTCATATGGAGATGACCTGTGCTTCGTCCTATCCCCACACACCCACCATCGTTCTTGGCGCAGTGGCAGTGGATAATCCGTGAGAGGAATTTACATGACGAAGAGGAGGTTTGTGTCTATCGCACCATTAGCACACGCCCAACAAAAGCCGATAACCAAAAAGGGTTAGGTTAGGGGAGGACATACTCAAAGGATGACTACAGCTCAACTGCGGCTTCTGCGTATACTTCGTCGCCAGTTCATCCCTAATACTATTAAGCAGCTGCACATAGCTCTGCTGCGGATTCTTCTTCATCGCCGTAATAAACGCCCAGCTCATCGCCCCCGTCGCCTGCGACGCAATCGACGCATCCGCACTCGTCTGATCATCCTTGCTCCCCGACCACATCACCACGTCCGCAGGCGACGTCTTCGTCGCCACAGTGCGGTTATACGCTTCATCCCCACTCGTGGCTTTCTTAAGGAAACCCATAACGTTGCTAGCCACGCCGCCCATGTCGCCGCGGGAGTACGACGAGATAACAGAAAGCAGACCTTGTCCGGCTTCCTTGGCGAGGTTGGGCTCCTTGAGGATGCCTTGGGTGGAGTAGATGTAGGGGAGGTCCAGGGCGGTGCCGGAGTGGCAGGAGTCGAAGATTGCGGTGAGGCGGACGCCGGGGCTGAGGGGGGTTACCATGATGCGGTGCATTTCGTCGTCGACGATGTGGCCGACTTGGCGGAAGTCGACGGGGTAGATGACCTCGTCGTAGCCGTCGGGTTCGTCGCCGTCGAGGTCTTTGGTTTGGCCTCCGTGTCCTGCAGATATCCCATTAGCACGCAGTTCCACCAGACGAGTAAAGTAAGGAAGGCAGGGCGGGGTAATCCCAGTGAAAAGAGAACAGCGGATAGTATCAGGACATACCAGAATAATGAAAGAACAACGCATCATTCGGCCTCGCATCCTTAACCAACCAATGCATCGCCCTCAAAATATTCTGCTTCGTCGGCTGGCTCATCGGGTTCTGCAAATCATCCGTCAAAATCACCATGTCCTCTCTCTTATACCCAAAGTTCTCAAACAGGTAACTAGACATGTTCTTGACATCGTTGATGCACCCGCGCAGCTGCCCGCGCTGCCCGAAATAGTTGATCCCGATCAGCAGCGCTTTGCGACGCCCGGTGCAGTTCGAGTATTGGAAGTTGTAGTCCTGGGGCGCGCCGGAGCCGAAGCCTTGCGGGACGCTGGGGGGAGGGGCGGGCGCTTGGTGGTTGCCGTGCACGTAGGCGTTGGAGTTGACGGTTGGGAGACCTGGAGGGGGGGGGTTGTTAGCTTCGTGGATTTGTAGGTTTTCTCGCCGCTGTGGTGTTCGTACCTGGTCTGCCATAGTCGTTACGGTTCTGAGGCATACCGTTGTATCCGCCGTACTGTTGAGGTGGGGGCTATATCTCGTCAGCTTATTCCCCGATCACCATCATCCAAAGCTCTATTTACCTGCTGCTGCTGGTACCCACCACCATAATGGTGCTGCGGCGGCGGTCCCTGCTGGTATCCGCCGCCATACTGTTGCTGCTGGGGAGCGCCGTAGCCGCCGCCATATTGTGGTTGTCTGTCCAAGGTGTAAGCTAGATTCGGACGCGAGTGCAAGCCTCGAGCCTACGACTGGTAATGCTGTTGGGGCGGGTACTGCTGCTGGGGAGGACCGTATCCACCACCGCCGCCGCCGCCACTATAGCCCGCGCCTGGATACCCCGACATGGTGAGGATTTATGTATGCGATGGCTCTGTGTGTGTATGAGTTCGTGTGCGTGTGTGTGTGTGTGTTTTTGGGAGGTTGTGGTGAAGTTGGTGATGTTGAAGTGGCGACTGACTGATGGACAGACGCGGCTTTTCCACTGTTGTTGTCGATGTGGAGGTGAGGTGGGAGCCGGCGGGATTTGGCCGAGCTGTTGTGTGGGGTGGATGGAGGGAAGGTGAGGAAAGATCGGGCGGCAAAAACGGAGAGGGGAGAGCGAGCGAGGGTCCTGGTCAGGGAACTTATAGTCTCGGCGCGGGAGGGAATCAGGGAATCAGGGAATCAGGGTATCAGGGACACGCAAGACAAGACAAGACAGCGGAACAACAAGGGTTCAGCGACTGGAACAAAGATGATTTGCAGCTGGGATGATTATGATTAATCTGCCGCTGTGGAGTTGGGGCGGGCAATGTTTTATGTCGGCGACAGGTGTGTGGTTTGTAGGGTATAAGTATAGATTGAGTTGTTTAGAGGTGGGTTAGAGGGAGGTTAAAGATGGTTCGGCAGGTTGTTTACAGATTTGTTTATCAGGGCGGCGGTTGTATGTGGTGGTATGTGGTTGTATGTGGTGGTACCTACGGAGTTAGCGATGAGGCTACTGTTAGCACAGCAGGCACAGCATGCATCACAGGTACAACCACACATACTAAAACTGCAGTGCCTTCCTGTGCCTTGGTAGTAAAACAAGCCTATGGGCCATAATATGTACTATAACATGCACCTGAGAACCTGTTAGATAGATGGTAGAGACTATAGAGAGGCTATAGAGAGGCTATAGAGAGGCTATAGAGAGACTATAGAGAGTCTATAGAGAGACTATAGAGAGACTATAGAGAGACTATAGAGAGACTATAGAGAGACTATAGAGAGACTATAGTGATTGGGTGTTAGTATGTGTGTTTTAGTATGTGTGTTTTAGTATGTGTGTTTTAGTGTGTGCGTGCGTGTGCGTGTCTGGTATACAGATATGGTGAAGATACGCACTACTATGAACTACTATGAACTATTATGAACTATTATGAACCACTGCTACTAACTGGCTAACTGCTACTAACTGGCTAACTGCTACTAACTGACTAGCTGACTATTACTGTTACTATCCTGCACAAATAACAAAGTATAACTAACTAACTAACTATAAGTATATAAATGTGCGCCTATCCATCCCACTCGTTACCCCACCACGCACACACAAATCCTTGTCCTCCCCTCATATACCCCACTACCCCTCCCCTCTTCAATCAAATCGGACAGATGGCCGAGCGGTCTAAGGCGCGTGACTCAAGAACTTACAATTCTTCTAGTCGATTTATCAACTACTAGTGCATTCACGTATCGAAAGATTCGGGGGTTCGAATCCCCCTCTGTTCAGTTTTTTTTTTTTTTTTTGTTCTTTTTTTCTTTTTTTCTTTTTTAATCAATTAATTCTTATTGATTATATTTGAATTAACTTTTTAATTTGAACGACAGCTTTAATTAATGAGATCTTACATGTTTGTTGGCATCAACTGTACAGTACAGTATACCCAGTAATCCAACGTCAGGCATTGATTTTTTTTCATCCCATGTACACGTATCAAGCCAACTCACAACTCCCCAAGAGCCTTCCACGTCCTCCAACGAACCCAACATCCTGTACGTACTGTACTGTACAATCCCATCACATCACCTATCCCACCATCGGCAGCTCCGTCCTCTATCCCACCTCAGCTACCCTCGTCGAGTACCCACCCCACCACCCCTCGGCCCCGCGGCGCCGAGATCCTGCACCAGCTGTACTTGTATCGTGTGCGGGCCGCGATGCGATGCGGCGTGGCCGATGTGCCACGCCAGCCACACAGCTTGTTGCACCGCCGCAAACACGACACGGACTACCGCGCTACTACAGATTTGCCAAGCACACACCACCACACACAGAGACATACTACTTTGTTCACGCACGCACTATGGCGGATACTATGGCGCAGAAGGACCTTGCTGCCACGTGTGAAAAAAATGTTGATCAGACTTTTGGGATGCTGGTTGTGCTGAAGATGGGTGGGGGGGGGGATGGGGATTGGGACTATTGGGGGGTGTTCAGCTGGTGTGGTGTTGGCTTGGCGGGGTAGGTGGAGTAGGGGAGGTTGGGGGGGTTGGGGGGGTGGTGCCCCTATTCTGTGCAGATTGAAGAGGAGTCTATGGCCAAGACATATCTCATGGATGGTTCAGTATTTGCGTGCGTGCGTATAATTCTGTTGTAGATTGAATCACTCACATATCATGGACGATTTTGATTTAGTGCTTGAATACTTCTAATTCAGTTGTAGATTGAATCACCTACAAACCCATCTATCGAACAGTATAGTACATACAATACATACATCCAACACAGTATTAATCACACCCATCATACACTCCCCCCCAACTCCCCCCCTATTACATTCCCCCATGCTTATCCATCTCCCCATCCCCATCCCCATGCAAATCCTGACTCCCCCCCCTCGCCACCATCTCCGCCTTACTCGGCCTGAAAGGCCACCTCATAAACTCCTCAAACATCTCCCTCAACATCTCCTCCGTCAAACTCCTCACCGTCAACATCTCCAAATCCACCACCCCCCCCTTCCCCACATCCCTCAACGACGGACACCGCGGCAAAATCCACTCCTCCGCCCCCGGCGCCAGCGCCCGCAGCCCAGCAACCACACTCTGCTTCGGCATGATGAAAAGCGCCGCGAGCATAAACTCAAAGTAGTCGTAGCACCCCAATCCCTCCGCCCTGAGGCTCGGCCAGATGCTGCGGGGCTGGAAATCAAGTAGTGCCATTGGTTGCGCGGGCGCGAATTCGGTAGGCTTGACAATCAACGGCTCCATCGCGCGACGGTCCCACACCAGCAGCGCCGGTTCAGCGAGGAACCCACGACGTTCTTCGAGGCGCTGGGTAACAGCCGTAACTGTCGTGCGCGCCCCCGACTCCAGTGAGCGGCGCCACTCCCGTATCCCCTCTTCTACCCTCGCCATGCCCTTTTCCCTCCCCGGACCGGTCGACGCGCGTAGAGCAGCCCACTCATTCTCAAGCTTCTCATAGCTATCCAGCCTCGACTCAACCAAATCATTCACCACCCCCACAGCCTTCAATCTCCACCTAAGCGCCTGCAAGCGTCTAAACTCCTCCGTGCGACGCCTCGTGCTATCAAGCGAGACCTCCGGCGTCGCGCTGTGGTGGTCCTCGACCTCGTCGTAGAAATCGGGAAACTCCCCAGCCGCGTAGCGTGCTTCCAGGGTCGCGAGCTCGTCTTCGAAAGGGCGGCGGACGCCAATGCTGGGGGTGGTGGAGGCGAGTTGCGCGTCCCGCGCTTCGCGCTCTTGGAAGCCCTCGCGGCCGGGGGGTGTGTGGAGGCCCGCAGCTGCCATGGCGGGGGCGACGCGCTGGCCGGAGAGGATGTCGATTGATTGTTCGCGGCGGAAGTTTTCGGTTTCTAAGTCCCCACCTGCTACTTCGTGGATGTATTCGCAGGAGATCTCGGCTTCGATGCTGGATTTGCGGCGGTTGATGATGAGCCGGGGGAGGACGATGCGTTTTTCGAGGTCGTGCATCCAGATTAGCATGCGTACTTGCCCGTAGCCTTGGAAGACGGAGTGGGCGCGGGTGGCGGTGAGGAGTTGGTGGACTACCAGGGTCGTGATGGAGGGGAAGCCGATGTAGGGGCGGCGGGGCCAGTAGCCTAGGTTGGCGGTTACGAGGAGGGTGGTGTTGGGTTTTTCGAGGGAGGGGTCGCCGGGGGAGAGGAGGGTTTGGTGGGGGAGGTGGCCGTCGCGTTCGAGTTTGTTGAGGTTGTTCCAGATGATGCCTGACATGGGGAGGAACTTGTAGGTAGAGTCTTTTTGGTTAAGGAGGGGCTCAAGGTAGGGTTTGTATGTTGAGGCGTCGGGCTCCATGAGGATGTGGGTCCTGGGCTTCACGATATCGTGCAGTTTGGACGACCACAGGCCAACTCCGGGGTTGATGTCAATTATATCACATCCCTTGTGCTTCTCAAGGCTTGGAGCCAGTCGTTGTATAATATCATCTGGTTGATATTAGCTATAGAGCTCTGGAGGTTCAGCGCAACGTTCATACCACATAATTCCTCGCCAATAATGTTCTGACGGGCTTTGTCTCCGCGTTTGCCAAACACAATACGTGATAAACTTCTAACGCTTTTCCGCTTGCTAGCTACTACGCGAATATTGTTAGTACTATCTTCTTCTGCCTACTCGCGTAGTGTATTGCTTTGTGTCCCTTACCTGCATCTGTCTCCGCCTCGCCTTCTGGGATTGCAGCTCGAGCTCCGTGCAATACATTTTCAAATGCTTTCTTCAGAAGAGGGCCCTTAAGTATTCCGGCATCACTTCTCTTCTTCCTCGGTTTTGTTGATGGGGTCCTGGGTTTCGGCGGTTTCGCACTGGTATCACCCCCCCTCGACGTGCCCGCATCACTCCTCAGTTTGCGCGGTTTCTTGGTACTTTTTGGGACCTCAGCAATGGACTCATCAGTCTTAGGCTGTTTCTTCCTAGGCTTGCTGCCGCCTGTCGCACTTGTCGCTATAACCGGACCTCCATCGCTGTATGCTCGAATTAATCCTGTAGCTGGCCGGCAGCACGGATAAGTGAAGGCTGCGATGGGACGTAATCGATTTCGTCGTCTATTTACGAGACGAACAGCCAACATCAATTCTGATTGCACTGTTTGTGAATTTGAGCAGCTTTGGCGTCTGGGATATTATGCTATTTCGAAGTATCGGAACTGACGTTGCCATCTCGAACAATCAAAAAGGATGCAGGGAGCGCCTTAATTCTGCCTTCGAAATGTGACAAATCGACTCACCGCCCTAGCCTCGTCGGCCTGTCGACCAACAAGGTACAACAACCACCGCCACGGAACCTGCGTCATCTGAAATCGCATCGTTTGCCTCAGCAAACTTCGGAGCTCTCCAGGCACCAGCCAACCTTCCCGATCTTTCTGGGACCTCCCGTCATGGTTAGGGAGTGTTGCCCCAGCTTTTCATTCATAAATCATCAAACCTCATAACCCCGCCGAAGATTCTACAACCCCGCAGTACCCTGCGATTATCACGAACAAAAGATGGCAAGCTCTTCGGCCGAGGCAGCGATGCCGTTGAGCATTGCAGAAATTGCTGCGCGCGCCCAGAACTTCGAATATAACCCTTATATCAAACTCAAAGTCTGGTTGAGAACTGCTGAGCTGTTACTGCGAGAGGTTAGCCTCAATCTCACATTTGCATGCATATAGCCGCTGACAGTATTGCGCCAGGCCCAGATTTATGAAGATGAAGGCAATATCCAACAGGCTTACATGCTTCTCATGCGATTCGTTACCCTGGTCGCTGACAAGCTCTCCGCCCACCCCGATATCAAAGAACCGGCAAATAAAAGGGCGTTGAAGTTGATGATCAAGTCTATACCCGACGCAGTGGATCGACTCGAGATATTGAAACCGAGAATCGTCGATCGATATGAAGCTTGGAAAACCGAGCATGAAGGCCGAAATGAACCTGCGGCAGAGTTGTGGGATGGGAAGGGACTCGGGTCTATTAGGCGACCCTCAAAGTATGCGGAAGCGGACCCTGCGATTGCTGGAAGGGCGAAAACGCTAGAAGCGTCCGAACACAGCGGCCTTGCTGTCAAACTTGCACACAAAGAAATTCGGAGGCGAGACGACATTCGGAGAACAACCCGGCAGGGCGAAAACAGAGATCAAATGGGGTATGAAGCGGGCGACGATAGCGCCGACTTACAGCGCCGCATGGAAGATACGAGGAGGAAGATGGATTCCAGAGATCGAGACACGGACGGAACACGAAAGAAGCTCACAAAGTTACACCCCTCAGCAAGCGAACCAAGTTCATCGGCGCCACGCAGCAGCGAATACAGATACCCCTCAATTGCCAAGTCAAGGCCGTTCAAGTATGAAGACAAGCCTGCTGAGATCGAGAGGAATTTCGGCAGAGAATCCGCCCCTCCAATCCCTTCAAAACAAGTAATCAAAACCACGATATCATATGAGTCTCCAGCTCCGTTGCGACCAGCAAAGCTTCTCAAGGAAGCTCCACCAAGCTCTACCCCCTCTCCTGTCGACGACCCCTCCGCATATACATTCAAGCCATCGGCCTACCTCGAAAACGGCTCACCTCTCCGCACCCTATTTCTTCCCACCACGCTCCGCGAATCATTCCTGTCTGTCGCTCGTCCCAATACTCAGGCGAATCTCGAGACATGCGGCATCCTGTGCGGGACCCTCATCTCCAATGCACTTTTCATTTCACGACTGGTGATCCCTGAGCAAGAGAGCACCTCTGATACCTGCGAGACGACGAACGAAGGAGCGCTAT